TATTGTGAAGAAGGACCTAGTGTTGGTTTTTGAGGAGTTCCACAGGAGGGGAATCATTAATCCGGGGTTAAACTCCACATTCATTGCATTGGTCTCTAAGAAGAAAGAGGCATCACATCCAAGGGATTTCAGGCCGATTAGTTTGGTGAATAGTTTGTACAAGATAGTTGCAAAAGTCTTGTCTCTAAGAATTAAGAAAGTTCTTCCAGCCATTATCACACCTAATCAAGGAGCAATACAGCTGTGGGACTACAGCAATGAGAAAGAAAAAATTTAATTGGCTGTGTAAGGACTTAGAGGTGCAATACAGCTGGGTGAAGAGAAGTGCTAACTCAATGGCTGATGGGTTAGCTAAACAAGGGGTGGCTAAGGACTCTTTGTTTTGGGCACATTTTTAGTATTTTGTTGCCATTTTGATGTTGGGGAGTTAAGATAGTTTACCTCCACATTTTCTGTAATTAATTTTCACAAGTATTATTCATTAATAAAGATTTCTGTTATTGATAAAAAAAAAAGAAAGTTATAGGTTAATTCACTACAATCAGCATGATGCTGATTCAGACAAATAGTGAGAATGACACTACAATCAGCTGGTTGCCTGAAATTCTTGGGCCCACTGTGCCCCATTTAACCAAAATCTGTTATCCCTGTTTTCTGTATCTAAGTATTCATTGGAAGCTGCTATTCAACCTATAGACAAATGCATTTTCTCTGATGTAGTGTCTAAGAGCCCAAGGTAATTTAGTTCCATACAAGAACCAATCATCGCCTCTCTAAAATCCTCTTCAATGTTTGGATTGGACTACCTTGACAGGGAAATTATTTTTTCACTCCTTGTAGAATGTAATTCCCCAAGTGGCCCCGATAGCTCAATATAACGGTGCTGAATAACTCCCCTCACCTCAAAAGGTTATGGGTTCCATTGTTTTGCTTAAAGTGTCTAGTGATGGTCAAATTGTATTCTGTAGAGCATAGTTGTCAAGGCAACGCCTAGGTGACAAGGCTCCCTTGAAGGCTCGCCTCGCCCAATCGCCAAGCAGTTTTGTGCACTGTGTTATAAAATACTTTTATATTTTTAATTTTTTGACGTTATAATTATAAAATAGATATTATTAAACTAAAATATTAATTTTATGTGTTTATATACTAATTTCTTTTTATTATTTTCTTATTTGTTAGGGTTTAATCAACACAAACATTGCTAACTGTTGTATCAAACCCATGGTTCAAAGTATCAATACACCTCTGTATCGGCAGAGGTGTATCGGTACTTGTACCAATACCCCTATTGTTTTATTTCTTTGTTTTTCAATTTCATTTTTAAATATATATATATGTATATATTTTTTAAAAAACAGGTCCCCAAAAACACCTGTTCGGGACTCCAAAGATGTAATACAATACGCCCAATACGGGGCATATGGTATTGAAAATTTGATCCTTGATTGAACCCTCAAGGATTTCAAAACCTGAACCAATAAGCAAGGGAAGAACTTAAAATTTTGTCTAATCAACACATTGTCTTCTTCCACCTTTTCTTTTCCTCTTTTCCTATAACGAAAGTAGGGGTTCAGCCCTTATATTTTTTGAATTTTCTTCCCTTTTTTCTTTTTCTTCTCAAAATGTTGATTTTATAGACTTAAACATGAAATTTATACTTCTCTTATGAAAATTATGGATAATTATTAAGGAAAGATGGTTATGGAACCTAGGGAACCACCCTAGGATATATGGTTTTACTTATAAAAAAATCCATCGCCTAGGCGACAAGGCACCCCCCTGTTGCCTAGCCTCACCTTGGTGCCTTGAAAACTATGCTGTGGAGGTCATGTCTAGGCGCGCAAGTTGACATTGCATAATTCACAATGAGATCTGTCTGCTTCTATGGTTTACATTTTAATTTTAATGCCCTTTAATTACGTTATAACACAGATTTGTTTTGTTGCCAGCCAATATAGATCACCCCAAGGAAAGAGCAAAGCGCGTTGAGCATGAGGAGAGATCAAGAAGCCCTTGTTACAGCAGGAATCCTAAAACAAAGAAGAGGACTCCACCCAAAAGTAGGAAGCGCAGTGCAACACCTGATAACATTAGTCCATGGGAAAGATTGAACCCACCACCAAGGGATTGTGCTTGTGGAATTAGAATATGCTCGTTAAGATGTGATATTTAAGCATGTCGATGATTTGTGCGTGCGTGGCATAGTAATTGACAAAAGTTGGTGACGTGTACAGCTTGGTACAATGTCCTGTGGCAATTGAATTATAAAAGATGGATACCACCACCAAGGGTAAATCTAATCTCGATGTTCAAAATATAGATAGATATAATACATCCGATAAAGCGTATAATATCAGTATCCAAATGGACTGAGATGTGCAAAGTGGCGTGGCCAAGTTTTGGTGTCATTCCTCTGTGTTAAGTGTGTATTGTTTATATTACTCTATAGATCCATGTGTTCAGGTATGCAAAGGTTATGCATACTTACAGACGTCGGGGCATGGGAGATGGTCATAAATAAACATTGAATTGTACAATTCTTCTGTTTTTCTATCACGCAATGTTTCCCTTCATCGCTTGTAGTCTCCAGAGTCCAGATAACAGCCTTAGACAAGGTGTTTTCCTTCTGGCACCATATCTAAGAGTGCCAAGGCCCAAAGTATGGGTGACTTTAGCTTGAAGCACAACTGTATGTCTGCGGTGACAGGTTCCAAGTATTAGCAAATACGGGTATGGAAAAAAAAATAAAAGCACAGGAATGACACCAAATAATGGATATGGTTAATTATCTTATCTGGTTAGAAAAGCAAATACGGGTGTGGAAAGGACATGACTTGGGGAGAAGTCTTGGGCAAATGATCATATTTATTAATTATTAATTAAAATTAGTTTTGTTTCAAATTAATACACATCACCCAAATCGACATAAATCCAAATCAACCCAACCCAAGTCTAGATATGAACAGGCCCAATCACCTCGGTTTGACCCATTTAGGTCAGTCAGCCTGATCCGGGTTACATCGATCTAAACCAACCCAAATTCAGAATAAGTATGGTTTGCCCCAAATCAACTTGGATTACTCGTTTTAACCCAGTTTGGATCAGCATGCTCGTCTCAAGCCTGTGCAACCTGAATCAGCCCAACCCGAGTCGACTTGGTCTACTCATTTTAATCTGGTTTGGTTCTGCCAGTCATGCAATTCAGACCAACCCAACCTGAATTTGGACCGGCCTGACCTACTTGCCCTGACCTGGTTCTGATCGATCAACTCAGTCCCAAACCTGTGCACAACCCGATTTGGACCGGCTTGACCTACTTGCCCTGACCNAACCTGTGCACAACCCGATTTGGACCGGCTTGACCTACTTGCCCTGACCTGGTTCTGATCGATCAACTCAGTCCCAAACCTGTGCACAACCCGATATGGACCGACCCAAGTCAATCTGCCACTCTTTATGTGATTAGTTCGAAAACAAACCCAATTAGATAGTTCAAGTTGGTCTGACCGCTTTGAACCTAAGTGGTTCTATCAAACCCAAAACCCAAATATAATCAGATGGCTTCAAGAGATTAATTGCCTTTTATTCTCATTGTAAAAATATTATGCATGTAAATAAATTTTGAACCTTCACCACTTGTGCAAATAACAACTATTATTACCACCAAACTATGACCAACTTGTTCATCAAAATGGAGTTAATTGTAATTTTAAGTACATAAATATAAGATTAATGGATTGAACAGGTTAGATTGGGTCAAACTCAACCCATTTAATTTTATATAACTGGGTCAATGGGTTGACAGGTCAGATGGGTTGGGTTGAACCTCATCCCAAACCAAACCCAACCCAATCCACCCAATTGCAATTACATGGTTCTATTAATGCCATGGAGAATCTTTGTTTTACATGCTCCTTGTTTTTTCTTAAAAAAAATGAAATAGAACAAAATCATAGAACTGTGTAAGAAAAAAAGTTCCAAGCGTATTAACATATGCTTTTACAACATTGTTCCCCGCACAAGTCGGGGAAAAGAGGTGCTTGGGAGCAACTCAGAAGATTTGGCGAGGTCGCAAACATTCATTAATGGTGTACCCATAAATATCGAAACCCAGAACACAAGGATTGGGAGGGGGTGCAGGAATTCATGGTATACCCATTTTATTCAACCATGGATAACTAGCTAAGCCTTCTTTTCATTTTCTTGGTCAGAACACCATTATCCATGATGCTTAAAGAAACTCTCTATTCCCACTCAACCCAATTCAAGTACAAACCAACTCTACACTCTACAGCCCTCGCCCCTCCTCTCTTTACAGAACACCAGGTCAGAATGACAACCAACCCAGCACCATCCTCTTAATTCCAGTTCCAAGATACGTTTTCCAGTTCCAGTAAACTGAAAAAGAAATTTGAACCACTTCTCAAATGATTTATGCAGGGAGACTTAAAGAGATGAAAATGAGAAAGTAAAATTTAAAAATTTTCAACTACAACGAGCTCAGGTTCGGGTCTGAACTTTGACCCCATTTAAAATGTCGAAATTATTCTTGACTCAAGTTGCACCCCAGAGCATACTTTTAGGCGCATTTTCATTTTTCTGCAAACTTTCTATTATACAAGTAAAAAAGCATGAAAACTTATAATATATGAAAGATTCGATTAGGGGTGATCATTCCTAGCCCTCAGATGTGGACAACCATCTCTTAGAGGAAAGTTGTCAGTTGTCACATATGTTTGTCTGGAATCTCTAAGTTGGCAGTTCAAGCAGTAACCTGTACTATTCAACAGTTTAAAAGATTGTTAACTTCGCCTTTCTTTTAATATGGTAAATTTCCGTATCAGATTAGTAACTATGACACCAAGGTTCAAGAGTAGCCCCTTTCTCTTGATATAGATAATTCCCATATCAGATCAGCAACCAGGACACCAAGGTTCAAGAGTTGCACTACCCCATGAAAAACAATGCTTAAAGAAGACATTAATAAGCAGCTCACCGGAGATTCAATGTAATTCATCTATTGCTTTCTATGCCCCGAAGATCAGATAGCATTGTATTCCAACTCCATGCAAATATGAAATATCTAACCCCCGCAGGGGAGTTACTTCAGGCTGTCATTCACATTTGGATATGGTTAACACTCCAAAATTGAAGTTCTTCATGATCAGAACCACACTAATGCTGACAATTTGTAAGATGACAAGGTACAATTTTCGGATCACCAACTACATTAGTTGAAGGAAGTCCAACTCCCAACCCAGCTAACTAATAACAACAAATCTTTGTTGTACCTCTTTTTTAATCTAATGAATCAATTTTGTGTTGCTGATAAAAAAAATAACACCCCTTATGACCTGCATCATCAAAATCACAACTGCAGAACGTTACATCCACCCATAAACAGGATTCTATCCATTTCATCCTTCACAGCCTTTTAGAACGAGAAAGCAAACAGGCCCATCCATGTAAACTCCTGCCCTACCTCTAAATATTCAGCCTCGATAAACAGAATTTGTAAGTCCCCTATCTGCAAAGTTATGATACTACAGACATCTCTCATTCAACCAGGCAAGACCAGTAACTCCAAAACTCCAACCACAATACAAGAAGCAAGAACTTGGTGAGATACCATGTCAGCAAGAAAACCAGATCGGGACCTGCTTGTAGTATTATTTATTGAAACCATTAAAGAGTATGCAGCAAAACAGAATCCAATCAGTTAATTACTGTTGGCCATATAAACAAAGGGTCTAATAGAACAAGGCTGCATTGCTGCAAGGAAATCAACCAGTCCACATAACAAACATTCAGGCACATAATGAAGATCTTATGGATATTATCTGACAGATGGTTGATGATAAACAAATAACATTTAGGTTATAACAAGTTATGTGGAGATTCCTGGCGCCATACCATATTCAAGAAACTAGCAACTATGCTCTCCACAACACCTTCTCCAAACAAAGTATAAACTCCATGTAAAGACAAAAGATTCTTAGGGGACAATATCCCAGAACTTACATGATTGTTAAATACAGGCAGACGAATGAGTCTGACATATCCAGAGGCCGCAACTGACAGTAAAAGCGCTTGATGTTATACTGAAAACCACACAACTAGATACCGAAGCAACTGACAATGTATGTCCCCTTTAAAAAGGTAATCCAGACACTATAGAAAGCAAAGTTTACTGTACAGATCAATAGCAGAACCAGTGGCATGTATTATTCAGAGATGGGCAGCAAAAATGCAATTAGGATCGCCCACAACTTCTTTAAAGTTAGAATAGCCAAGTACGACCAGCCAGAACATCTTTTTAGTTTTAATAGCTAAGAAGATAACATTGATTCGGGCTCTTATAAAGTCAGAAACCTGGCTGCTTGTTCTAGCCAAGAAGTTGCTTTATTTCCCCATACAGCATCACTATGCAAGGCAATCGAGAACAAAAATATCAATATCTTCTCCTCTTCATTTCAACATCATTGAAACAAGTATCACTCCACCTCCGGTCACAATGACCATAATTATCTTCCTGTTCTTCGACACATCTTGTACTAGGTGTATTCCCCACTGTACTTTTTATACGCCTATCAAATTCCCTTTCCCTTAAGTTGCCTCTTCCATGGAACTCAGACTCTGTTTCTGGACAAAACCTAAAAGGCCGAGGAGTATCTTCCACATCGTAACGGAAGTTATCAATATCAGCATCATCGTACAAAGGTCGAAAAGAACGAACAGGTCCACGTCTCTCACTACACTTCCTTCTCTCATCCATACATCCATCACCTCCAATATCATTAAACCTTTCAGAATGCATTGGCCCACCAAAGTAATCATCATTCTCAGTCCTTTCACAGGGCTCAAACATATCAAACCTCCTCATGCCCTGTGGCATTATCCTGCCAGATGGGCTCCTCAGTTTGAATGATCTTGGATGATCATGCTCCGTAGCTGAACCCATTTCTCTAAGGTCATTAGAGATTGGGGGAATGAATGGAGGGGAACAAGGTCTTCTTCCCACCATATCTTCTGAAAAAAAAGGGCGCCGATAAGACTGGACCCGATCAGTTCTGTAAATTGGTGATCTCCAATGAGATAGAGAAGGATGCCCATTAAAACCATCAGATCTTCCTCTAGGAGATGACCAAGGGTCAGGAGAGTGTGATCTGGACCTTGGTGGAGATTTTGAATGAATTTGAGGTATGTGCAGAGGCCCCCTCTGAAGGGGTGAAAAGCCCCTCTCTCCACGGACAAAGGAATCTCCTCGCTCATACTGAGATTGGGAACGTGAAAAAATAGGATCCATCACATCATCTGGCAAACCCCTAACAAGTTTTTCTCTGTGCCTCAATCCAACAAATTCAGAACCACTTCCACGGATGCATCTATCAGGGCTAATGTCTCTAGGAGGTCTACGTACCATTTGCACACCATGGGAAACATGTCCTTCTCTCCCTCTAGGAGACCGTCTCCTAGAGAGGGGATGCCGAAAGTTTGGCAACTCATTGTTTAAGGATTTTCTCCCTCCTCTACCACCACCTAAGATAGTACCATCTGGTGCAACAATATAACCACTGTTTTCAAGCTTAGCAGCAGCAGTTGTTGCTGCATTTTTTGGCCTAGTGTATCGAAATCCAGATGAACAATTATAGCGTTCAGCAACAAATTCACGACCAGAATCCCAGTCACCACGTAGATTGTCTACCTGGCTATCAACCCTTCCCCTGCCATGCATAAAACCAGATCCAGGATACCTAACAGGTTGATCTTGATTCCTAACTTGTTCAAATTTGCGAGGTCTATCCATGCAGCTTGCATCTCTGAAAAGGATAAGCAATAAGCATCAAATACAAACTGCACTTACATGAAAAATAAAGAAATAGCAGGCAAGAAAAGAAAAAATAATCACCTACAACCCCAGGGATGTAATTTATCACCCAGGAGCACCACATCAGTATGCTGTTCCCTTTCAATTTGCGATGGTGACACTCTGCCAGGAATAGACCTTGTTTTACTGGATGATGAGCCACTTGAACCTCCAACTAAAGTTATAATCCTGCCACGAGTACCTCTATTATCAACATCTTTAACTGCATCATCACCAAGCCCAGAAGATTCCACTTTTGGAAAAATAATATTGCTCATTTCTGCAGTGCCTGTTACTTTGGCATTCTCATGTTGAACATCCATGTCAACCTGAGCAACTCCAGCTGAAGTCTCTTGGCCAGAACTAAGTCCTTGATTAGATGTTATTTTGATCTCTTGGCTCCGTGGACCACCTCCACCTCTTGAGTGGTCTGGTGGTTTCCTACGAACAATCTTGACATGCCTCTTTTTACTCAATTCAGTGGATGGCACTAAAACTGTCAATGGTTTTTGCAACAATGCACTTTGATGAATGTCTTGATCACTCTTTTCATTAACCAGATTATTGTCACATGGTCTGCTACAATGAGCATTCTTTGATTCACTAAGATCTTCCACTTTAACATCTCCCTCTTTGACATTTGAGGAAGTATTTACACCCCGATCATCCAGATATCCAGAAACATTGGCATCCCTATTATCAGATTTCCCATATTCAACATGATCTGCTTCCTTTTCCTCACATGCATTATCTTCAACAGCATTAAGTAGCAATGGTTCTCGGACCTCTCCATCCTCATAATCATCATCCTCACCACTATGTTGTTTATCTTCGTCCATTACACAACCTGCAGCATGATTACCATCTGACTCATAATCAATATCATAAGACTCTTCTTCTTCCATATCAGCAGGTATATTAATCCTTTCCTCATCACTTTCAGCTATCTCGTTATTCCTGTGTGAAACTACACAATGCTCATCCAATGGTTTTAGCGTAGATGACACAGTATCTGCATTATTTAAATCCACTTCTTTATTTGGAGCATCTAACATAACATTGGCAACCTTAGACTCATTACCATCAGGAACCACAGAATTCGGAACTGTATGTGAAGGCATTCTCTTATAATTATCACAAGTTTTTTGGGTTACATCCACATTATAGGGCATCCCTTTGGTGCAAGTGGGAACTTCTGAATTATTTGAAACCTCCCCAGTAATTGGCAACTTTTCTGTACAAGTAGGTGTGACCAATGTACAAGCAGAATTCTCTAAATGGCCACTCATAGGCATTCCAGAAGTATCAGTTGGAATCTCTAACTGGCTAGATGACCCTTCCACTGCATTGAGGTTATCATGATGACCCTCATGAACTGGTTCTGATTTTACAAATCTCTGGCCTATCAATTGCATATTGCTGATACTCAATGATTTAAGAGGCCCCTGGTTGTACCCTTCAACTGGTTCAGGCTTTACAATTCCATAATAAAGTTTTGAAGAACTGCCTTCCACAGCCCTCAATTCCCGTTTATTACTGTCATCAAATGGTTCAGACTTAACGCTCCTGCAACTAATCATGTTTGAACCACTGGCAGGTGAAACTAGAGTTCCAGATGAAATCAGACTAGGTCCTGCTTCTTTAAAGTCAACCTTTGCTGAGGTATATGGGTGTTCTTGACATAAGCTTGACTCTGGACCAGATGTGCTAAGATGCAGACGAAGATTTTGGATTTCATGTTGTTGACGAAAAGAGATAGTCCTGCTGGACAACTTGGATTTGTTCTCATTTACATCAAGGTCATATTTCTGAAAAGTAGGATTGGTGCTCCCTTCACTATTAATCATCTCTTTTAAGACAGTGCTTACATCATGCAAACTGGTTGCATGAGACGCATCAATATCACCAATGACCTCACTGCTTGTAGAAACCTCCCATGTATCCATCATAGTATTCAAATCCCAGTGTGACCTATTTGCAAGTACAGGAGTGCAACCAATCTTTAATTCAGTATCATTGCTTTCACTCTGAAAAGAACTTTTCCCTTTGCTCAAAGCTAAATTCAAAAAACAGGAATCCAACCTCCCCTGCTTCTCACAACTCCCTCGACTGGTTTGGCATGCCAAGGCTGAAACAGAATGTTTCTTTGGCACTAAAGACAACTCTATATTTCCTGGAACTATTAGAAACTTAACTTTATTCTCTACACCATACTCTCCCTTGTCATTTATGTGTTCCCTTATTTGTGGTGCAAAACCTTCATTTTCTACTAACTGCAGTTTTGTATTCTCCTGGAATAAAGAATTTTCAGCTACCATACTTCCATCTTTACTCTCAACTGCAGACCTAGAACCAGAGGATAAAAGGAGATTCTGTTCTGGAATACTCAACCCAGGGGTGTAAGCATTGCTTGGGACCAAGTTAACATTTCTCTCAGAAGAATTTCCTTCCGTCTTCAGGGAAGAGATTGTATTGGTATGAGAAATCCCACAAACTTCTTTCGCATTGAACACATTTGGAGAAGATTTCTCAGGATTTGAGTTAGAAGAAATTGTAGAAAGCACCGTATCACTGGCATTTGAAGAAGAAAAAACTAGTGTTGAGTCAGATTGTTCCTTCTCTGGTAGATTAGGTTCAACTGACTGTGAGGACAGTGCCTGAGATGAAGGTGATGATGGTGGAACCAATAGAAACCTCCTTTTCTTGATAGGCACAACTGCAGCAGAATCACTAGAATTCTGGGCAAGGAGTTTAACCCCACGCTGCCAATAGAAAATTGAATAATTAATATTGAAGAAAACAGAATTATCTTTACTCCCCTAATGCTATTTAGCAGTATTTTAGAAAGGAATAAACACCTCTTCGTGTCCAGAAACTGGCATGTCTTCAAGATGCTCTAGTTCTTAGAGTAATTGTATCCTAACGTAAAAGTTGAAATTCAAGTCCCAGATAAGACTCCAGATTAATCTCCGTGAAAAGATTTGCTCTCTGAAGTTTCTACCAAAAGTCGATTCGATTTGATTTATAACAAAAGAAACAGTTGGTTATACAAATCCATGCAGTTTCTAGCACCCTCAAAGAGATTCCTAATCATCACTGGAGGATAGAAATGATAGGTTCTGAATGACCTGCAGAACAATGAGAAATTTAATCATTACAAGGCAGCATAATCCATCGATCCAGTAAGCGCACCATATCAAAGATGAATGAAATAAAATGTTCTATATTTTATCAGGTCCTCATGCAGCCAAAATGAAAATAGTCACTCAAACAAAATAACCTGAAAAACAAAACTTTGATAAGCTGCACAGTAGAGAAGAGGAAGGCAAATAACTAGGCACCATAAAAGGCTGAAATTTCTCTTGCAAGAGATAAACATGTTAAGATTGCCGCATACCAATGACTCTGAAATTTTTCTAAGTCTTGTAAATACATAGATCCCCGAAAAAAGGAAAAAAAACGTCACGGTTGAAAGTCCTCATCTGTATAAAAGTAGCAAGTATAACATTTTACGTAAGAAAGAAGCAATATATATATTACATTAAAAGCACGCACTGCAAATCAAGGACAAGGTTCCTCATAAACATGTGATGTTTGCAATCCCTCGTGCGTGATTGGTAAAATTAAATAAAAACAAGGCAAATTTCTATCCATCTTCACAAACATGAGCAAAACAATTCTGCTCATGTAATTGCTCACAGAGCCCGTATGTTTGGTTCATTTCTCCACCTGTATCAGCCTCCTTGGCTCTTAATTGAGGCTAGTCACGAAGAGGTTTGTATCATTCTGAGCTCTTAATGAATATTTTATCTTTAAAAAAATAAAAAACTTCCCTTCCTTCACGGATCCCTTATCCATCACCAAAGACTATAAGTAACAAAAGAAATTACCTCAACAAACCTAACCAGCCGAGGAAAAATTTGCTTTAGCAAATACAAATCCAAGATAGATAAGCAATCATAATCACGTTTGAGTCAATCTATTCGAGCGCCATCCACTGTGTTAGCTACTACAATTCTAAACATTTCTACATGAAAGATCATTTACAGAAAAATCGGGTAAATCCTACCAACTAGCTGCTAAATCCTGAAAAAGAAGAAGGTTTAAAATCGAAAACTGAAAACCCATCTTTTTGCAGAAGTACCTAGAGCCAACCATTACTCGCTTCAGGAAAAAAAAGGACTTTTGCGACCTAGATTGGAAGATGCAGCCTCCGTAACAATCAAGGCTATCTTCAAGCAGAGGATTCTGAGGGGTAAGAGATAGAATTGTTCAAAGGAGAAGGAGATGAGTAATTTTACTTGCAGCGGAAGAGAATCGGGAGAGCATGCAGTTTTCTTGGGGTCTGAACTCTGATGTTCGTTCCTGTTGCTTAGGGTTTCCGCGGTTCTAAGCGATTTATTCCACGCGGTTTTTGTCTTTTTTTGACTTCTTTTCCCGACGCGTGTCGCTCCTGGACAAATTTGTGCTCGCATCCACATCGGCTGTGTTTGGTTGCAGTGAAATTTTATGTTACACTGGTATGGGAGAATGATCAATCAGCCCAGATCAGAATTTTATAGCCCCAAAGCACAAGGGGAATGCATTCTGACCGTGAATTGATGCACGGACAACATATGGTTTACAGGGAGGAGGGGGCTAGTAGTAAGAGGGATTGGAATTCAGAATTCTGCATCGTGTGTATCCGTACTTGTTCAATAAATGTATGAGATTGTAAATAAAAGAAAAAAATGCAAATTTTGGTTTAATTTTATTTTAGATTTTACCTTATTCTATTTTGTCTTTTATTTTACTTCATTTTTAATGTTATCAAATCAAGTAAACTAAAATTTAAAACAAAAATAAATCAAAACTTGTATCAAAATAATTTATATTACCATAATTTTATATTAATGCAAATCAACCAAATACAGCTTTAGAGATAAAAAAAAAATCCAATCAAGACCAAACACGTCACTCCAAATCCATTTGGTAACCGAATCCAGACCTAACGACAGTCTTGACTCCATAAAATTATGAATTCAAATTAAACCGTCCTATTAACCCGCTTCTTTCTCTCTCTCTCTCTCTTCCTCTCTATCTTACTAATGATTTTCAATATGGTTGTGTCTGGTTTAATCCTTCATTTTCCTACCTTTTATTTTAAATCAAACTAGCGGGGACCGTGTTTATAATTTATGGATTTAGTAAACTCTACTTTATAGTTAGCATTCTATTAAAACATCATTTATAATTTATAATGGATTTAATCAATCTTCTATTAAATGACATTAGAAAATGACAGTATTGACTTTAATGTTCATTCAAATAAATTTAATTAAAAGAAAATAAAAATAAATACCAATTTTACTCTTAATAAGATACGGACAACCACTTTATTGGTTATATTTGGTCAATTTTGTTTTCTGTACAAAAAAAGTGTTAAAGGTATTTTTGAAATAAAAAAAAAATATGGGCTTAATGGCAAAATAAACACTCCTTAATGAAATGTTGATTAAGTAAATAATTTGTAAAATATATGGGATTTTTAGTAAAATTAAAACTATAAGGTAGGTTTAAGTAAATATGTAAAACTATAAGGTGTGATCTAATAGAAACACATAAGAGTATACAATTGTTTTATATTTTCAACTTTTTTAAATAATTAATAATTATTCATATCTTATATACCACTTTTAATAGATTTTTTATAATACAAAAATAACAATAATTATTTTCTATTAGTTTTATTCATCAAATTGATGAAATCGACTAACCCGATCAACTTGACCCGAGTTGGTCAGTTTTCTAATATTTAGGTTAGATTTGGTTCAAAAATTTCCCAATTCGACCAAGTTGGATTAGTTTCACTCTGACCATTTATAAACTGACAAAAATTAAATGACCTAACCATGGATATATATTAATATTTTATATTTTAAATATAACTTTTAATATGAAAAAGTGAGAAATTTCCCATATTTCTTAGTCTAAAATGTTTTATATCATAAATCTAATTTTTAAATTTATTTTTTAAAAATTGCACTATAATTTTTAAAATTTAATTTAATTTTTGGACCTTTAATCGCTAGGTTCGGATTGCGGAAGGCCTAAGACTACTTGTGTAACAAGGTATGGCGCATTYGAGTTCCTTGTCATGCCTTTTGGTTTCACTAATGCCCCGGCCATACCAACATGGGAAACCTAGCTTCCCTCCCTTTGAAGTGCATTTATCAGCTCCCCGAGTCACTAGAAAGAGGGTGAAAGACCCACTACTTCTTCATTCAAGTTTAAATATTTTGAACTGACTCACCAAACCAAAAAATCGACCCAAACTGATACAACTTGAGTGGACCGGTTTTCACAAAAGGTCAGTCGGTTTCAGTTGACCAACTTCCCAACATGACCAGGTCAATTTGGTCAGCCAAATAGCCTACAGTCAAACCGAACCAACTCATGAGCACTCATAATTTCAGTTAAATTAATAGTCTCATCTCTGATAAATAACAATAGGTTAATCTCCAATAATTAATGAAATACAATAAATATTAATTTTAGTATATATAATTATATATGATGAGGGAGGATTTGGCCCTCCAATGATGTTGCGACACATGGCACCTCGGAACAACTAGGTGACACCCGAAACCACTTTGGCAACAACTTGCCTTAGCCAAGTAGATGGTGTCCCACCTGGCGGCCCAGGCGCGACCTGGCGGCCTGGCCCTGGCGCGACCTGGCAGCCTAGCACAGGCACGACTTGGCGGCCTGGCACAGGCACCGACCTGGCGGCCTGGCCCAAGCATGACCTGGCAGCCTGGCACAGGCGCGACCTGGCGGCCTGGCACAGGCACCGACTTGGTGGTCTGGCACATACGCCGACCTGGCGGCTTGCAAGACGTGCTCACCGACGAATTCGGCATGCATATCCAAACACTCCCATGATCCTTGGAAGTTGGCCCACGTGTCGAACGATCTGGAGGGTGGTCAACATGCATGGCAGTTACCTCCAGGAATCTCGAACCAGTTAGACACAACCTCCCGGAGACCTCGGGGGCGGTACATGAGCAAGGCCTATATAAAGGCACCAACCCCAATGATAAGGAGCAAGTGAGCAAGCAAGCAAGTAAGCAAGTTCTAGCTCTTAGACTTTGTGATTTTTAGCTCGCAGTCTACTATGAGAGTACCTACTTAAGCATCAGAGCGACCTCGCCGGGTTAGCCACCCCGAGTCCTCTGACATTTGGTTCCTTGCAGGTCTCTAAAGAGCAACGAAGCTCATCAATTCAGCTCGGCACCTGGTCAGCCCAACACCTCACAGGCAGCTCGGCACCTAGGCAGCTCCACTTCGGCCTCTGAGTCATCGGCCACTTGGAAGCAGACCAAATGACGAGGTACTTAGCCCAAAAAATTGGCCATCAATAAAAATCGATTCATCATTTGGCGCCGTCTGTGGGAAACGCTACAAAAAGCTAAGTTCTCATCCTCTGAAAAGGCTAAGTCCTCTTCTTCTAGAAAGCTAAGTTCTCACCTTTTAGAAACTAAAAGCTCTCACTTTCTAGTTTCCATTTTTTATAAACTCAAAGACTATGCAGGAAGTTGATGGCTAACCGACTAAGCAACTCTACCAACTTTATTTCAACTAAGATAAAGCCTCATCAGTCCTCTTCGCGAGGTACCCTCTACAAAGATGAGCTCTTCCGTGGCTTCCGTGGGAGTAGGTGGCCAACAGACTGCATGGACGCCCCTGTCGGTCGAGCTTTCCAAGTCTCTCGTGTGAACTAGTGACCTAAAGTCAGCATTGTTGCCCTCGAGCTCCTAATAGCTTCTTGTAGGAGTGGGTAACCGACGTCACTAATGAGGCTGGTGCAGCACAACTTGGCCAGACACGGCCTGGTAGCCTGGCCCTAGCGCGGCCTGGCCCAGGCGCGACTTGGCGGCCTGGCCCAGGCGCGACTTGGCGGCCTGGCCTAGGCACGAACTAGCGGCCTGGCCTAGGCACGAACTAGCGAACTGATAAAAGACTTCGGCTCCACATAAGACCCAATCGCCTCTTTGGCATGGGCAAGATCAAGGAGAGTGGACTACGAGTTGCTCCTAGAGCCCAAGGGCTAAAATACCACATAAGACCCAGTTGCCTCTTCGGCATGGGCAAGATCAAGGAAAGTGGACTATGAGTCGCTCCCAGAGCCTAAGGGTCAAAATACCGACCTAGTGAAGACCTCCTCACCATATAAATACTAATTTTTTGAAAGTTATTTTCTCGAATTATTACTTGATATAAGTGAAATTAGTTATTTACAACATTATGTAAAAATACTAAATTATTATTAATTTCAATATTTTGTTATAATTATTTTTCTACTTTCCAAATTTTTTTAAAATTTATTACATAGTTTCTTTATTTTAACTATTGAAAATCTAGTTATGTTAAATATTTTGTTATTTAAAATATTTAGTTATATAATACTTAATTAATATGTAAAATATTTAAATTTTAAAATTTTAATTATTTATTGAATTTAATTATCCATAAAATCATAATTTATACTATTAAATTATTGTTAATTTCAATATTATTTTATAATTATTTTTCTACTTTGAAGAATTTTTTTTAATTTATTACATAATTTCGTTATTTTAACTATTTGAAATCTAGTTATGATAAATATTTAGTTATTTAAATATTTAAATAATATATAAAATATTTAAAATTTTGTATTTGAATTTTATTTATTTAAAGCTATTACATATTATTAAATATTTGAAAAAAAATTAAATTGATTATCTGAAAAAACATAATTTAAATTGTTAGTACACAATTTTGTGATATATTTTGTTAAAATATAAAATTATTTTTTGTATTTTTAGTAAATATTTTAAAATTATAATATAATTTTGCTAGAATATTTAAATAATCCTTAAATTTTTTTAATCCAAATTTTCTTTAGATAGATATAGATAAAAAGTAGAGGAGAGGATAAATATGAATTAGAGATAATTTAGGAGAGAAATTCTCTACTAAATTAGAGATAATTTTGGAGATAAATAGGATTTAGAGATAATTTAGAAGATAAATAGGGATTAAAAATAAAATTTCTCCATAGAAATTTTAGGAGAATAGATTATTTAGGTTATTGGGAAAGTGCATCTCATTGGTTGTTTCAAAAATGACATAGAATTATAAAAAGAAAAAATTTCTAGACTTCATTGTTTTAATGTTGATTTATAAAAAAATATTTTTGTTAATTGAATATGAACAAATATTTTTTTAATAAGCTTAGTTTTATTAATAATTTGTAATAATTTTTATTTTTTCTGTTATTTTTTAATGAAATTTTGATTAACTTTAAATAAATAAAAATTGATGAAGGTTGATTTGGCACGACCTTGCAAGAAGGGGACACGTAAGCGCGATATGACAACTCAACCAGGCAAGCCCAGTTCGCAACATTCGGAGTTTGGGTA